GTGGAATTGCCAGCATTGATTGAAGGTACTGCTGAAAGCACAACTTGAAAAAGCAAAAAACCCCAAAACCCAGTTCCAGTCCATTAGCCTTTATCCCAGCCAGCGCTGTTTAGTTTCTGTTTTGTTGCTGTCCCACAAACACATCTATTCCCATAGAACATTTTATGTTCCCATTGCTCATCATAATTTCATCATGCAACCTTGCATAGTTTATTGTTTATATAATTCAAATGGATTTTAATTAATTCTGTATTTCTGATCTGCCTTTATGTAGGTTCACTCCAATCAGCATTATTTTTACTGTTCTGTTTTACTGATTTTAAGTCATACTGAGGATTTAATTTCAACTTGATGCTTCATAATAAGAGGAAAGTACAAAATCAGGAAAACACATTATTTTCAGAGGTATTTTGGAGGAGGTTAATCTAGATTTTGTGTTAGAAGGCAGTATAATGGTTAAGAGCATAAAGTCTGATAGACTTAGTTCAGGTCCTAGCTCTGGTGATGACCATGGGCAAATTTTTTATCCCCTCTAACCTTGAACTTCTTTGTCTATAATAATATATATGTCTGAGAGGTATTGTTAGGATTAAATGGGGAAAAAATCCAAGTAAGGCATTTGACATGGTGCCTGGCACAAAATAAACACTCAGTATATACTATTGTTGTTATTTTTAATGCTGCTGTTATTGGTACAATGGTTTATGTGATTGTTTTCTTCTAATTCCTGAGTGAGAAATACTTGGAAAAGCTTGAAAGTGTATATATTAGCAGACCTGACCATCATCTTTTAATAGTAATCAGATCCTTTTAAAGATTGGATAAGCTCAGGTTGAATTTAGGTGCTTGATATATTTGGTATCTGAATCAGATTCTAGTCACCTCACTGCAGGTTCATTTTCATGATAAACTATAGAAATTAAACAGTATACAAGCTCATATTTATTACAGCAGTCTGATCCAACACTTTGCAGTTTGTAGAACTATAATGTTTGTTTTTTAGTCGCTAAGTCATGTCCAACACTGTGTGACCCCACGGCCTATAGCCCCCTCAGGCTCCTCTGTCCGTGGGATTCTCCAGGCAAGACTACTGGAGTGGGGTGCCATTTATTAATGTTCTCCATAAATTCATGGGATTTAATAGGAAAGTATATAGACTTTTTAGAACTTGAACATAGAGATATCCTTTAGGATAGTAGAATGAAGAATTCAACCAAGATTCTTCATCTTTGTTTAAGATGCAGATAAAACTTTGCAAATATTACTCAGTCATAAAAAGGAATGAAATTGTGTCATTTGCAGAGACATGGATAGACCTAGAGACTGACATACACAGTGAAGTAAATCAGAAAGAGAAAAATATCATATATTAATGTATATATGTGGAATCTAGAAAATGGCATACATACTTTTACTTGCAAAGCAGAAATGGAGACACAGACATAGGAAACAGACATATGGATACCAAGCAGGAAAGGGTGCAGGGCATGGGATGAATTGAGAGGTTGGGATGGACATATATACACTAAAACGCATAAACTAGATAACTAATGAGAACCCACTGTACAGCACAAGGAACTCTACTCAGTGTTCGGTGGTGACCTAAATGGAAAGGAAATCCAAAAGAGGGTATATATGTGTACATATGGCTGGTTCACTTTGCTCTACAACAGAAACTGACTCAGCAGTGTAAAGCAACTATACTCCAATTTAAAAAGCCAAAAAAACCTTTGCCAAAGAACTACCTAATAATTGTTAAATTATTTTAACAATTTAACACTCCAAATTTCCATCTGATGGTTATAAATGAATATAAATTTTAAAGTGCAGCCAGTGCAATTTTAAAGTTGCAGACCATTCTGTGTGAAGTTTTTTCTTAATATTATTATCCTTTAAATTTTAATTGCTGCATAAGATTACTCAGTTTTGACATGCATGGTTTGCTTGATCATTCCAATGTTGAGGCTGTTTGAGTTATTTCCCATTTTTCGTATTATAAGTAATACTGCTAGGAACATCTTTTCTTTCAAGTTACTCCCCTGCTGTCTATCCCTTCTTCTGCCAGTTAATTCCAAGGGGGATAGTGCCACAAATTAATCACTTGTAGTGTTAACATTCTAGTTACTAATAGGTTCAAACTCACTTCAGAAGTAGTTTGGTATTGGAAACTCAGATACTAGAGATTTGACTAAATATAGGTCTTCTTAGGTGGGTCACTTTTTATTAAGCAGAAGAATCTTTTATTAGCACAGAGTGAGTTACAAAGCTGGTTTTTAAGATAAGAGGAAGAAGAGAAGGTATGAAAAGACTGGGGAAATTTGACAGTTTCCTAATTCCTCCTGAGTCTGATTTTCAGAATATTGTTTTGTTTTCTTACACAGTATATCAGGCACATTCCCAATGTTTTTGAGTTGAGATAGAACTATTTTAAAAAATACAACATTTTTAGATTAACCATAAATAGCCTTCTTCCCATTATTTGGACATGACTTAGCAACTAAACCATCACCACCACCCATTAGTACAGATGTGAGCAAGCATGTTTTGGACTTCAACATCACATAATTCTTTTGTTACAGAGATCTACTTTCATTTCTTAGACCTTAAAGATAGGAGTTTCTGTCTTTCAAGCAGTCCTGCTGCCAGATACAATTCAGCCTTGATGGGAAGGAAGTCTTGTGGCTAAATGGGTGGAGATCCATGGTACAAGGCCATAAAGATAAAAGTGGAAAGAAAAGGAAGACTATAAGGGTTTCAGGACAGGGTTCTGTAACAAAGACAAAACTGACTGTAGGCAACTGCTTGTTCTCAGGATAGGGGCTTCTTTAAAATTATGAATGAATAGAGTCTGTTGTTTTTAGTTTTAGTTTAATTTTTTGGGAGGGGGTTGGGAATAGATAATCAAAATTTACATGGATCAAAATTCAAATGAAAATTCTTTCTGAAGCCCTGGTCCCCAACCACTCAGTTCTACTCTTGAGAGGCAACCAGTATGACTGATTATGTGATTATCCTGCCCAAAGTCTTCTGTTCATGTAACACGTGTGTTTTTCCTCCTTTTTTTCCCTAAAAAATAGGTTTTTTTTTCCCCTAAAAAATAGCATCGTATACATGGTGTTCTACATTTTGCTTTCTCGCATAACATTAAGTCTTGGAAATTATTCTATAACAACAGAATATTTTTAAAAATTTTTGAAAGCACTTTAAAAATGTCATGTGTCTCAGTTCAGTTCAGTTGCTCAGTTGTGTCTGACTCTGCAACCCCATGGACTGCAGCATGCCAGGCTTCCCTGACCATCACCAACTCCCGGAGCTTGCTCAAACTCATTGTCCATTTAGTCGGTGATGCCATCCAGCCATCTCATCCTCTGTCGTCCCCTTCTCTTCCTGCCTTCAATCTTTCCCAGAATCAGGGTCTTTTCAAATGAGTCAGCTCTTCGCATCAGGTGGCCAAAGTATTGGAGTTTCCACTTCAGCTTCAGTCCTTCCAATGAATATTCAGGACTGATCTCCTTTAGGATGGACTGGTTGCATCTCCTTGCAGTCCAAGGGACTCTCAAGAGTCTTCTCCAACACCACAGTTCAAAAGCATCAATTCTTCAGTGCTCAGCTTTTTTTGTGGTCCAACTCTCACATCCATACATGACTACTAGAAAAACCATAGCTTGACTAGACGGACCTTTGTTGGCAAAGTAATGTCTCTGCTTTTTAATATGCTGTCCAGGTTGGTCATAGCTTTTCTTCCAAGGAGCAGGCGTCTTTTAATTTCATGGCTGCTGCACTGACTGAAAGTAATTCCTAAGCCAGGGTTTATGTCTGGTACATGATAGTATCCGAGAAATGCTTCTTGAATGAGTGAGTGAGAAAGTGAGTGAATTAGTGATTATGTTAATTTAACATACAGATAGAAAGAGGCAGAAAGCTAAGAATTGCTGGAAGATCTGTGACTGTTGACCTGACCCTGATGCTGGGACCCAGGATTGATCTAAGGAATGACATCACAAAATGCATATCTCCTTTTAAATTGCATCAGAAATTCTCTTTAAGGCTTCATATTAAGAGATGTCAGTATGAAGAGGTGCCTCTGGAGGTGGGTGAAGAATGGAGTTGTGGGATGGCCCCTAAACCCCACGAGTCAGGACGTGTGGTCCTGGTTCTACTATGACAGGGCTCCAGGACCCAGACAAGTGGGTTTATCCCTCTGTGTGTCCTTACTTCAAATGCAAAACAAGGAGGTTGGAGTAGATTATTTCAGTGCACCATTCTAGCTCAAGATTACATCATTTATTATTCCACAGTTTCCTGTTTGATTACCAGTTTGCACAGACACTTGTTATGTTAAAACTACATTTTTAGCAACATAAAAGTGAGGTTATCATTTCTCCAAGATAATAAAGAGACTTACAGGGTTATTGGTAAAAATGTGATTATTAAGATTTCAAGAAGAGACTCTAGAAAGTAGTTTGCAATTATTTTATTCCTCACAAAAATTTGTCAGATAAACAATTGAGACAGAAGCAGGTTTACCAGGAAAAGCCCATATACCCCACACATTGACACATTTTGAGAGGACTAATACTTTGTAGTTCTAACCTTTAAGAGGTTCAAAAAGAATCAGATAAGTAAAAATTACTGTAATATTATTCAATAGTAAATATAATTGTTATAAACGAATAGTATATGTAATATACTCAGTAGTATTTAATTATTAAATGCTTCCCAGGTGTCACTAGTGGTAAAGAATCCACCTACCAGTGCAGGAGATGCAAGAGACACGGGTTCGATCCCTGGGTCGGGAAGATCCCCTTGGGAAATGGCAACCCATTCCACTATTCTTGCCTGGAAAATTCCATAGACAAAGGAGCCTGGTGGGTCACAGTCCATGGGGCCACTGAGAATCAGTCACGACTGAGTGACTTTAATATATTTAGTTATTAAAATAGTAACTAATAATACATATAACTCATAATAAAATAAATCTTTTTTTCTCTTTATTTTAGTTAAGTATGAGAGTGAAGCCAGTAAATATTGGGACACATTTTATAAGATTCACAAGAATAAGTTTTTCAAAGATCGTAATTGGCTATTGAGGGAATTCCCTGAAATTCTTCCGGTTGGTCAGAAAACTGAAGAGAAGGTGAAAGAATTATCATGGAATCATGTGAAAATTAATACTGAAAGTTTTTTCTCAAAAATGCACTGCCCTACTATGCCTGAAGAAAAAATTCATTATAAAGAAAGTTCTGGCTCATCAGATGGTCAAAGCAAAGCAGGATCTGACTTTTCTAAACTGGACTCTGAAGAATACAGAGAAAGACCTCTGAAGACTGAATTGTTTCCTGGTAGCAATGCTGCTTTCAGAATCCTCGAGGTATGGTACTTCATGGGAAAAATTTTTTAATGTACATCACATATTACTTTATTAATGATCCAGATTCTTTAGAGGGAAAATGATCAAATAACTGTGTACTTTTGTGCATAAAAATCACATAAGGGACTCATATCTTTAATCAGTCAGATTTTAAGTTTGTGATTTAAAACTTTTCTTAAGTTTGTCTGCTTTAATTTCTAACTTGAAGGCCGTTTTAAATACCAGTGAAGTTTTGGCCTCAATTTCCATCTCTTTCTGTTGTTACCCACTTGTAGATGAAATAGAAATAAGTGAAGTATGTAATTTGCTACAATCTGGTGTAGACCTTGATTTTCTATTTTAGAAAAAGAAAACTTTTCCTTCTGATTATAAACATAGTAGATGCTGATTACAAAGAATTTGGTAAAGAGAAAGAATAAACAATCCCATAAACAAAGGATTTAACCACTGTTAACATTTAACTTTTTTTTCCCTTTGTTTATACTGTTTTATATAGTTGAGCTATACTATATCTGCATTTTAGTGTTTTTCTTTGTTTGTATTTAACATTATAACATAAGCAGTTTTCCCTATCTTTAAAAATTCTCTATAAACATTTTCATGGGTAAAAATTACTATACTCAGTGAAATACTGATTCTACTTATCTGTTTTCACTTGACTGGGCACTTAAATTGTTTTCAGGTTTTGTACAGCAAGTATCTTCAGGTATAGACTTCTCTGTATTTTCTTTTATTATTTGAGTTCAATTGACTTGTTTATAACTTATTAAAATTTTTAATATTGTTAAAATATTTTGCCAAGTTGCGTGCTAAGAAGTTGTACTAATACCAATTTACAGCAGTGTAGGTCTGTCTCGTCACACCCTCATTGATTGGAATAATCTTATTTTTATTGCTTTCTTCTTTGTTAGACAAAACCATATTTTAACTTGATTCCTTTGATTGTTAAATAGGTCATATAGTTCTTCAGATGTTTAGAAACCATTTGTTCTTCTGTCATCTACTTATTTCCTTTATTTATTAGTTGTGTTTTTTTTAATGAACTCTGCCCTTTATCATATTTAATTCAAATATTTTTTCCACAATGTTTTTGTCACCTTTTAATTTGGTTCATTTGGGGTTTTGGTATGTAAAAATTTTAAATAGTAAAATTTCTCAGTACATATTATTTTCATGATTTATTCCATTTTGAGCTTATACAGCTCTCCAATAGCCAAAGATTCAGAACATTTCTTTTAGTTTTTTAAAGTAAAAATCTGATATTGATGAGGAAAATTTTACTTTCTTTTCATAATACTTATTTATTCTTTGATTTTAGGTTGGCTGTGGTGCTGGAAATAGTGTTTTTCCAATTCTGAACACTTTGCAGTGAGTTTTAGAGTTTTCTCCTACAAAATTCTGCACGTGTATGGGATATTGAGAAATACTTGGAAAATGTTGTCATATATATACCAATAGTGTTCTTGTTCCCATATAAACAATGACTAAACCAAATTTCAAAAGCAGTGGCTTGGTCTTTGTATCTAATTTCATGTGAACTGATAATTACTCTGGAAATAATGTTTCACAGACATAGGTTGTCCACCAGGAGTTGAAGTAATTTTTTAAGTTTGTGCTTATGTAGATGAGAGTAAGAAATGAGCAAGAGATTTGATCCTTCTGCTAAGCTGGGAATTACTGAACTTTAGAGATTTATTTACTCCTCCAGGTTACTTAGGTGTCATTTTACACATACAGAATTGAGTTTAAAGCTTACACTTTATTTTGTGTAAGCTTTAAACTCATTTTATTTTGTCATCACTTCTGGAGCCCCACCCAGGATAAAACCTTCCTATAGAGTTGAAGTGACTCTCTAGAGTTGAAATTTTTGGAGTTATCACACCTAACCCTAAGATTCATAAAGAGTGAAGTCTGTAATAGGAGCAGAGATGTTCTCCTGACCTGCCCTTCCTGTTCAACACCTCACCAATGTGTTTTAGTATGTGATGAAGAAGACACATCTTACAAAACTTTTACTCCTTTTACCTATGGCTGGTCTGTCAAGTGCCTATGTTTTTTAAGTTTATACAATAGCTTTCCGATTGTCATTTTTCCATTACAAAATTAACATAAACACATTGTAGAACTTTCCCATTAGAGGAAAAGTGGATGGGAAGGAATCACCCATTATTACCACCATCAAAACATCAAAATATAGCTGCTGACAGAATTTTTATTATAATTCCTTTCAGTCTTTTCACTATGCATATTTTAAAATTTATTAGTCTTTTTTTAAACTTTCCATTGTGGAAATGTAAACACATTCAGAAAAATTGAGTAATACAGTAAATTCTCATATAGCCACCACCTTGTTTCAGCAGTTACATAAGGCCAACATCATGACACATTATTTTTATGAACTTATGATGGATCTCCAGAAAGCAAGACATTCCTAATTGCTGTTATAAACCTAACATAATAAAAAGTAATTCCATAATATCATCAAATTGCCAGTTAAAAGTGTCTGGCCAGAAGTGATACTGGCCAATTTGCAGTTCTGAATGGCCTTTTTCTTTCAGGATTTATTTTCTTTGTTTTCCTTTTCCCGTTTCTAGGCCAAAATTTCCTGTTCTTATACCACATAGCCAGATTCCTTCACCCTGGTGTTCTCTGAACTTGTAATACACGTAAATCTACTACATTGGTGGTTGATTATGTGTTACTCTATGACTCATCTCAAATTATTATTTAGCATGTCATTTCCGTATATCTTCTTTCTTCAGCTACTATTTATATATTTCTTGAGGTAGAGAGCATAATGTATTCTAATTTGGTTTTCCAGGTAGCCTAACAATATAATATAGATAGTTAGAGCTTGGTACATACTGACTGGTTAATATCTCTTATTCCCCACTTGTTAGTTGTATTTTTTCCCCCTTCTACTTCTCCACCTGACTAATAATTGCAGGCTCTTGCCTTCTCACCCCCTGGCTCTTTCTTTGTGACTGGGTCTTTTTTTGGCCTCATATTCATATTTTAGAAATCACTGTAACTCAATAACCTGAGATAATTAATTCATCTTTAAAAGGCAGCTAGTGATTCGCCTTCCAAAGGGAGGATTAAACCTTTTTTCCCCACCAAAGAAATTATGTTTTATTACTTTTTGAGATCATAGAATTAATATTTTACATTTTCAGAATATTTTACCATAATTAGACCCCCGGAATTGAGAGGTCATATCATTCTCCAAGGGTCATTTAATTCTTAAACCTCCTGCCAAGAGAGTGCTTGATGGTGTAGTAGTAATAGTGATATTTACACCTGTTTCCTGGGAGAAGGGCCAAGACAGTCAGCTGATTTTAAAGAAAAGCCCTAGAAAATCATTGAGTGGTCACAAGACCAAGTTGGGCTGCTGATGCAGTGGGAATTCAGTCTCAGAGGTCATGTTGCTATCTGGTAGGACACATGGCAAATGGCACAAGCTTTCCTTTAGCTACTGGACTGTTCTATATCTTGTGGTTGTTTAATAATTTCTGCACGAGGGTAGATTGCATGCCTGTCATAATGAGCTAGATGTGCCAGTATCCAGAGAAGCATTTTGAGCTATATGGAAGTTTTTACAAAAGCATATTAAGTTCTTAAGTTTTTAAGTTCCTGGAAGGCAGAGGCAGATATTCCTTTGACAGTGATGATTGTGATGATGATAGCAAGAATAATAAAAATGATATTTTTTTAAACATTTATTAGGTGCTTACTCTGAGTCAGGCATTTTTCTATAAACTTTACTATCTGAGTCCATTCTATCCTCACAACCAACTTAGATGCCCTATTTTATTTCTGTTAGGAGTTTGGGATTGACAGTTCTACTACTACTGTATTTAAAATAGCTAACAAGGACTTACTGTATAGCACAAGGAACTCTGCTCAATATTCTGTAACAACCTAAATGAGGAAAGAATTTGAAAAAATATATACATGTATGTGTATAGCTGAATCACCTTGCTATACACCTGAAACTAACACAACATTGTTAATCAACTATATTCAAATATAAAATAATTTAAAAAATAAAGATGAGGACACCAATTACAGAGAGCTTAGATAACTCATCCATGGTTACCCAACTAAGTGGTAGAACTGGGATTCAACACTAGGCAGTCTGGTTTCAGAACCCTTGCCCTTAGCCAGCATATCATGTAGTACTAATAATACATGTATCTGAGTGTTTACTGAGACATTTCAAACATGTGTGACCACCCAAGAAATTACGAGTCACAAATATAGGGATTTCATAGGAAACAATAAGGGTGCATGCTACAATAAAGCACTATTTTTATATGTGAAGTCACTCAGTTGTGTCCGACTCTTTGCAACTCCATAGACTGTAGCCTGCCAGGCTCCTTCGTCCATGGAATTTTCCAGGCAAGGATACTGGAGGGGGTTATCATTTCCTTCTCCAGGAAATCTTCCCGACTCAGGAATTGAACTCGGGTCTCCTGCACTGCCGGCAGACTCTTTACTGTCTGAGCCACCAAGGAGGCATTTTTAAATGGGTTGGATGAAAAAGAAAAGCAGCACACAAGTTTTAGCTTTGATTCAGCACTGGGTAACTTTTCATAACCAAATCCTATCCTTCATACGTTCATTTATTTGGACACATCTTAATTTGAATTAAAATTCCTAGTGCCACAGAGTGGCACTGTATGTGAAAACTGTACTGTATATGAGAATACTGTATGTTAATGTAGTATTCATCAGTGAGTAGCCTTTAAGAGAGTAATGTCAGCCTGGGTGAGATTTTGCTAATAAATGCATGTTTGTGCTTGTATTTCATATTTATTTAGAAATCATCCCTGCTTAATATGCCTCCTGAATCAGATTAGAAGTTCTAATTATGTGCTTCAAAGCCCATATATCCTTCCTTCTATTCTAAATCACCTCTGCTTCTCATCCCTGGCATGTGACTCCCACCTATAAACCCTTTCCCCTCTTCACACTTAGCAATGCCATCCTCCCCCTTCAAAATTCTTAAACTTTGGCCTGACAGTGCCTGCCTTATCCACACTTCTATGGAAATTATGTCCCCATCTAGGCTATAAAGTCCACAAAAACCAATACCGTACCTGTAATTACTGTTTAAGGACATACTAATCTCTTGTCATTCAGACACAAAACTAAGCAAGATGATTCGAGAATTCTTTTGATAATAGCACATAAGATATAATCAGGAAGAGTACTGACCCACAAAATTCAAAGTATAGTTGACCACTGAACAGTGCAGGTGATTAATTCACAAAAATTTATAGTCAACCCTTTGTATTTGTGAGTCCTCCATATCTGCAGATTCAGCCAACCACAGATCATATAGTACTTACTGTTGAGCAATATCCATGTGTAATTGACCTAGAAGGTCAAACTTGCATTGTTTAAGGGTCAGCTATATGTCCCTGCCTGTTAGTAACCATGGCTCAGCCATCATTACTGAATTTCAGGTAAAAAACTTATCTAAGTTTAGTGAAGGCCAGTTAAAATTAGTCAAGATTTTCATATGGATAAACATACCCCCTCAAAAAAAAACAAACCCTTAATTTACTTACATTCTTTGCATATTGTAAATAAAGCAACTGAGTCTTGGAGACGTTAAGTCTAATGCCGTGTTAATAAGTGGCAAATCCAGGATTTAAAAACACATGTAATTGGCTCCCAAATCCCATACTCTTACTATTTTATTAGACAGTTTCATTTACTACTTTGTATTCTAATGCTTGGTCCATATATGGGGCTTAGTAAAAGTTTGAAAATAATTTTAAAAGATAACAAAATTAATATACAAATGTTTTATTATTTTTAGATGCTGTATGTACATGGTATTAATATAAACATATTTAATAGCATGTAACTACAACTTCTAAAATATATATATATATTTTTTTTCATATGTATATACATCATCATTGGAGCATTAGAGCCTCTGTGAGAGGCCCAGGAACAAATGAGTATACACACAGGAAAAGGAATGAGGTGCCAACGGACATGGGGTTGAGGGTCCTTGGAGAGAATAGAACTTGGCTAAGCTGAGAGGAATTACAGGCCATGCCAGCTGGAGGCAGACAAAGAGTGCCTGGGAGGGGTAGGAGCAAGATTGAGCAATGCTGATGGATGGCTGTGGAGGTTTCTCATGTGAGAGTATGCTGGAATATAGGGCAAGTAGGCCCAAGAAAGGGAGGGCCTTAAAACCAGATCAGGAACTTGAAGGTTACCCTGTAAATGATAAGTGTTTTGAGACAGTGTTGGTTCAGAAACAACATGAGGCATTCACACACCACTATAGAGAACAGTACCTTAAAAGAAGAAACAGCAAGCCAAGTGTCATCCAAAATTCTGTTAAAGAAGTACTTATTAACAAATTCCAACTTACAGTTTCTTTCTTGTGTTGCTTCAGCTTATTTGAACTCTAGATTTAAATATTTCTTCCTTTTTCATAGGAATGTGCCAGAGTTCTTTCTTTATTGTTGTGATTTTGCTTCTGGAGCTGTGGAGCTAGTAAAGGTATGCCTTATATTCTCTTTAAAGAGAGCTGTATTTTTTAAAAATCTAATTTATTTACTGTTGAAGTGATTTTTTTTTAATGTAACTGCATGAAATGTTATCTGTGACCCCCTTTTTTTGAGATATGTCATTTTCTTTTTTATATTTATTTATATTTTGGATGCACAGGGCCTTTTGCTGTGCACATGGGCTTTCTCTAGTTGTGGAGAGTGGGGGTACCCTCGAGCTGCAGCACGTGGGCTTCTTACTGTGGTGGTTTCTCTTGTTACAGAGCACAGACTCAGGCCACGCAGGCCTCAGTAGTTGCAGCTCCCAGGCTCTGGAGCACAGGTTCAGTAGTTGTGGTGCACGGGCTTCGTTGCCCCACGGCACGTGGGATCTTCCACAACCAGGGATTGAACGCATGATTGCAAGGCAGACTCTTAACCACTGGACCACCAGGGAAGCACATCTGTGACCATTTTTCACTGAACTTTTACTATTTTGCAAATCATATCATCAAAACAATTGAAGTTGTTTGGGACTTAACTTAGATTTCAGGGGAGTGGCTCCTACAGGGTGATATTTATATTTATGTCCCTAGAGCTTTATACGTAGCCTGGCACATGGTAGGCACTCATTAATTTAAAATTCTGCAAAAAAAAAAAAAGGTCTGGAAAGGCATTATCACAAATCTAAAATGTCCTTGACTATAAGGAAAACAGTTGGAACTTGGTTTTATTTGACCAATCCCCAAATTCTAGTAAGCATTATCATAGGAAAAAGAGGTAATTTTAGAACATGGAAAAGGAATGGAAATTCTGCTAACAAAAATGTTTGGTAAACACATAGAACATAATTTCTGGTAATAAGGGTTACTAGGTTTTCATTGTAGACATTTTCTAGAGTACTGAAAAGCCTAAAGGGAAAGATAAAATTTACCTATAGTCATGCTTTCTAGAGTCCTAGAGTGACTCAGAATTTTGGTATATATTCTTTTAGTATTGTTTTTATAGGCAAATAGTATGTGTGTACTCTAATGCATTTTTAAAATAGCATCTTTAGTGAGATATAGTTCATATACCATAAAATTCACCATTTAAAAGTATACAATCCAGTGATTTTTTCAGTATATTTACAGAGTTGTACAGTCATCACCATTACCTATTGATTACATACTATAGGATATTTATGTATTAAGCCAAAGGAGGCATGGAACAAGCAGTGAGAGAGAGCACAGAGGACCATCTCAGTGCCTGCGAAGTAATACAGGGTGAGCTTCCAGCATTGCAGCCTGCTGACCCAGAAAGATTGCCCTACTCCACTTTTAAAGCTAAAGAAGGGCTGCAAAAGAATATTTGTTATCAACTCCAAGTGCTAGACTTAATTTTTTATGACAGCTTGAAATAAGCTAATCAGAAAATCAAATTTATAGAAGAAAGGCCTTTGGGAGAAGTTAAATGAACCTTTTTGATTTGGAAAAAAAATACTGGAAGTCTGCTAAAAACTTTCATTCCTTTATCATGACAGTCTCATGCATCGTACAGAGCATCCCAGTGCTGTGCCTTTGTTCATGACGTTTGTGACCATGGCTTACCCTACCCTTTTCCAGATGGGACCCTGGATGTCATTCTCCTCGTCTTTGTGCTGTCTTCTATTCATCCTGACAGGTAAATGACGACCAAAGGGCAGAGCAAATATGTACAGCCCCTTTATCAGGAGTGGCTTTCAGATCTATCAAAGCAAAAAGACAATTCTTGAATTTATTATTTAGTGAACTACATTACATGTAATATGCAGCCTTTTAAATGCAGTTTTTTCACTTTCTTCAGACTTTCAGAAAGAAACTGGCCAAACTGTTTCATTAGTGAGCTTTCTGTCACTGTCAGATGAAGCGAGCATCTTCTGACAAGACACATACCTATTAAAAGTGACAGTGCTTCAAGAAAATTACAAATTCAGAACAGCCTAATAGACTCCCAAGAGGGAAACTGTACTTGGTGATCAGAAACAAACATCTTTGATTTAGCTTCTTGCTGAATGTTCGTAATGAGGTGGGCTGTGAATCTGGCTTCACATAGGTCTTTAAAATATTCGTTTTAAGGAAGCCCACTAGGGAATTAGGGTTTATCAAGGTTTTCCAGATTGACCTTGGACCTTTATAATCTAAGGTTGGTCTAGTGCCATTATTTAAGTATTTATGACTTAAATATTTTTGTTCATATAGTGTATTCTGCAATAATAAATATAGCTTTTCTCCAAAGAGGAAGCACAAAGAGATATTACAGCAATTAAAATGATCACTTTTCTTAAAATTTTTCCACTTTGTATGTATTAAGACACATGTGTGCTAAATGTCTGGGGTTGTCCCTTCAGAATGTGTCTTAAAGTTGGGTTTTTGTGATCTTCTGGTTAGTAGGTGCAGACTTGGCATCAACCACTTTGGTGAGCATTACTCTTTCCCAGAGAAATCAAGCATTGTGTACTTCTTTCTTTGCTGTAAGATCACTAGGATCCTTTACAGGCCTTTTACTTCTCATTCAGAGATGTTCACTTTGATTACTTGTAGAAAAAATAATTAGATTTCCAAATAATGAATGAAATATATAATTGTACCTGATGAGATCTATCCAGTTCCATGAAGTTACTTACTCCCAGTTTCTGTAACCTATTTCTGCTAACTTGTTTAGGCTATTGGCATTATTTAGGTACTAGTAGAAAGATGTCATCTATATTTTGTTTCACAGCTAAAAGGATAGAGGAGGTGGATAATGAACAAGATTTTCTATCTAACACGTATAACAGGAAATGTTTCAATTCAAAATAAACCCTCAAGAAGGCTGTTTATATTAGTTTAGATTATGTGTTTTTTCATGATTTGAATTGAATGGAAAGAAGAAGGGGAAGCAGATGTCTTGAAAAGATTGTTTTTATAGTACATATATTCATTCTGTTTATTTTAAAATAGATTCAGATGTATCATGTCAGTACATTAACATAGGTACTTTCTTATCTACATGGAAATGATCTAAAAATGAGGTAAGTGAGTAGAAGTTGTATAATAGTAAGTGAAAAGTGAGGCAGTATCTTTCAGGTCATCTAGCACTGTGATAGTAGATGTAGCTCCAGGAAAATTCTAGAAAAGTAGCTTCTTGCCAGCTTGGAAAAGCAATTCAGCAAGCCTTTGAGTCTAGGGAGTCCCAGCTTAAATGGAAGTAAACCATAGAAAGCTACAAAACAAGAAGTAACTGTCCTTCTTATCATTGAAATAAAAATATAATATCTCTTCTAAAGATCTACACAGAGATTGTCAATAAACACTTTTTTTTAAATCTCTTCTTTTCTTTCTCATCTTCCTCCTTCCAAAGATAGGTGAGGATAGCAGAATTGGCCCAAGTCAGATGGAAAAAGAGAAAAGGGGCATTCCCCATTCTTGTCTTGTCCCTCTCATCCCCAACCCACTCCCACCTGCATTTCTCAGGAACTGGCTCTGGAATTGCACTATGAGCCAAGATGGACTGATAAGAGAAGCAGTTCCCCACCCCTTGCCTTGACCCACATTGCAGACTTTAAAGGACAGTTGGGAGCAAAGGGTTTGCAAAAGAAGGCTACATTTTGAAGTATTTGGCTCGTTGCTTTTCTGTGTTTTCATTTCATGCTTGTCTTGCTAATAATTGCAGGAAGAGATTTTTCTCTGTACCTAAACCATTTATCCTAAAAGTGAATATTTTAAGCTTTAGATATGGTTTTAATTGCCAGATCCTAAGGATATAAGCACAGTGTGAAAATAACCTGTAATAAAATAAACAAGGAAAAATAGTTTTCTTTTTCATGTACTTATGTTCCAGTTTGTTTAAATGAGATTTTCTCCTAGTCATGCCACTTTTTTTGGTCTCTTATTTTCATAGTTACTTTCAGTTTCTCACTAACTACTTCCTTCGTTACTTGACATTCTCTTTCACCCCATTATTCCACTGAACAATGTTTTAATTGGAAGGAATTTACAGATTATGTGATCCAGACCTTTCATTTTTAAAATAAGAAATGCTCAGAAGCCTTAAGTAGTTTGGATAAAGCAGAGACAGAAAGGACTTAGTACACAGGCTGCCATTTACCATTCTCTGCCCAGGGCTGACAGTGATAACTGATTTTGTAGATTGTCATTCCCAGCAAGTCTTGAGTCCTTCTTAATAGAGCTCTGTTGGCAGCCAGTGTCAGTCACTTGGCTTGTTATGAGATCTGAAATCTCTGCCATCTCTGTACCATAATCACATGTAAGGCTTTGAACACTTAACCAAAAAACATTAACTCAAGAGCAGTCACAAGAGGTCATGTCTGATTGGGAGCCAGATGGGTAGAATAAACAGTAAAAGAAAGAAAGGCTTCCCAGTATTGAGCTGGGGCTTAGAGTGTGAATAGAATTTAAATGGGCAGAGAGTAAGGAGGAGAGAATTCTTTCAGGGGAGCCACGCGAGCACAGGCATGGGCGGCTCAGAACCAAGCATGTAACAGTTTGGCTAGCGATGCTTAGATTAAGAAGCAGTGGGAAAGATGTTGGAAAGGTTAATTGAACCCAGTTGTGGGTGATCTTAAGGATGGATTCAACTAAGAAACTAAGAGAACTAAGATTTTTATCCTACAGATTAATATCATGAAAATTTGAGCAAAGGGATGATTTGAGAAAATCATCATTTTAAACAGAATAATTCATCAATAATATACAGGAAGTATTGGCAGGGAAAATAATAAAGCTAGTTAGGAAGCAATTCTCTTTCCAGCCAGAGGACGTTGGAGTTTGTACTAAGGGAGTACTAATGGAAACAAAAGAGAGAGAAAATACCAAGTATGTAATAACGATAATAAAAAGACATACAATTTGATGCCTAAGTAGTTGTGAAGAGTATAGTAGAACAAGAGAAAAGTAAAAGCGGTCAAAGATTTTTCTGAGGTGTTACACTTCAGTGAACGATGGTACCTTTGAACTAAATAAAGAAGTCAGAAGGAAAAGCAGCTTGTTTCGGAGGAAAAGATGTCCCTGCTTAGGTATATCTATCTGATTTGGGACAGCTCTGGCATATTTTTTGTCATGCAAGGAAAATGAAACGACTTTGGTTTTTTCTGCCTTGTAACTACCTTAATTTGTTGTAAATATCAGGAATGTCTGTATAGTTTTGCAGTTCAGTTTTGACATCATACATCAAGCTATGTGAAGTTACCACTCTAGTCATTTGGGTGATTTCTTGATATTCTAGACTTTTTGAATCTGATTATTGAGCAAATTGGTATCCTTTTTTCTTTCTATACAAAATACTTTTGTTTTTGGTGTCCTTATGTTTGTGGCATAGATTTCTTTGGCCTTATCAAGCTATGCTTATTTTATCATTAAGAATGTTAAATGTGGCATAGAAAACAAGACTTCCACAGCCTCCTGCTTTGTTTTCAAAGGATGCAAGGTGTTATAAATCGACTGTCCGAGTTACTGAAACCTGGGGGAATGCTGTTATTTCGGGACTATGGAAGATATGATAAGACTCAGCTTCGTTTTAAAAGGGGTAATGATATATTCAGTTTGGAATTATTTTCATCTGTTTTAAATAATGCTGTGTTTACAATTCATGTCAGTTTTGTATGGGTGGTGGTTTTTTTAAGGAATACTAAGTTTCTCTTGTCACAATTTTTTTTTAGGACATTGTTTATCTGAAAATTTTTATGTTCGAGGAGATGGCACCAGAGCATATTTCTTTACAAAAGGTATGCATATCTATAAGAGGAAATAATTAGCTGTAGAAACTTTTCTTGGGTATTATTTGCAGGGAGAAACTCAAAAGCTCTAAAATGAGGCTTCAGGAGCTGATTAAACATTAGATGTCTTTACACTTTAGTGATTATAACTGCTGTGTGTAAAAGCTTGAAAATGGCCTTTTGCCTTTTACTCTCTTTCCAATTGAAACTGCTTTAAAGAATTACTTGTTTTATTCTCATGCCCAAATGAAGTTTCTGTTTTGGAGGTACCATTAGCCCAGTTATGAAAAAATTGATGACATGCCACAGTCAGAAGAGGGAGTTTGATTTTAAGAGTCCATAGAAAATTACTTATCCCTTGTCAATTTCTCATTTTTAAAAAAGCATTTAAAATGAATTCTGTATTCAAGTACTTTCCCCAAACTTACATGAGTACTTTTATAATGTGCCATTTGGGATCTCTGCAAACCTGCAAGAATTCAGACCTAAGGCATGTCTCAAAATATTGAAAGCTGCAACGAATCGTGTTGTGTATCTATTTATACCTACTGCGTTCATCTGTTTTATACTTGGTGTGTTTGTGTGAAGTAGAGGAAACCTACTTGGTGTCATAGGTTTCCTTTATCAATTTGTACTAGAAAATGTTTCTTGGTATAAATGAAATTCATATGGCCAATCATTCCATTAATGTTGCATTGTTCCTGACTGCCCCTACCCCCCCAAGTCACATGTCATGTATTTGATTGCCATTTTTGTCTCACAGGGGAAGTCCACAATATGTTCTGCAAGGCTGGGTTAGATGAGAAGCAGAATCTGGTTGATCGTCGCTTACAAGTTAATAGGAAAAAAAAAGTGAAAATGCACCGAGTGTGGGTTCAAGGCAAATTCCAGAAGCCATTACACTTGATTCAAAAAAGCTCCAACTTGGTATTTTCAGCCCTTTCTCATGGCTGAACTATGTATCATGTTAAGGTACAAATCAGAGGATTACACTATTCAAAGTCTTCGGTAAATCTTTCATTTTTGAAAAGACAGTCAGAAGAAGAGAATTTATGTATCCTACTGTTTATCGTGGATGAACTGTTTTGTGCATTTTAAGCACACAGAAGTGACTTGGAAGAGAGCACAACATTCTGTGTTTTCAAAAGTTAATATGCCCAAGCTTGTTTGGATTTATTATGTCTTAACCATTTTGTTTGTTCTCTGAGTTTTAAAAGCATTTAGGTAAATTATTGATATAAGTCAAATGATTCTGAGAAACCAAAGCCTGCCATTTTTTCAGAAGTGAAAAAAACCATCTCCTTTATTTATACATTAGCTGAACACAGTTGAACTCTCCTCCATTGTTAACTGATAGCAGAGTCAGCGCGCCTTGTTTCCAAGGAAAGTCACAAGACCAAGGCAAAGGCCTATTTGTTTTGTTTTGTTATTGTCTGTTGTCCATCCCCAAACCTTTTTTTTTTTAATTTAGAGACTAATGTCTGAAACAGAATTTTAATTTCTCTTTCCTTTCCTAGAATTGGGGAAGTATGACTAATGCTAACATTATTTTCAGGCTATTCTTTGGTGTGCAAGTTGGAAGCCTTCTTTAAGAAGACTATTTACCCAGGAAAATTATTACATTGTAGCAATTAAAAATGTTTTACTATTTTCTGGTGGTCCAGTAGTTAAGAATCTGCCTACCAATGCAGGGGACATGAGTTCAATCCCTGATCCAGGAACTAAGGTCCATATGACATGGGGCAACTAGACCTGCACACCCTAGTGCTCCACAGGAAGAAGAAGCCACTGCAGTGAGAAGCCCACACACCACAACTAGAGAGCAGCCCCAGCTCAGTGCAACTAGAGAAAGCCTTCACACAACAATGAAGTGCCCATGAGCTGCATCAAAGACATGCGTCCAAAAAAATAAAAATGTGTTTACCACTTTGCCTCAAAAAAGATATAAATTGGCTTGCAAATTGCATTTGGTAAAAATGGAGTTTCTAAGACTGGGCTTTCATTTGTTACACAATATATACTGAGTACTTACTTTGTGCTGAATTATATGGAATAATACAGTAAATAAATAAAGTCTCAGCCCTGTCTTTTGAGAGCATAAGTAGGCTCTAGCTGGCAAAGCAAAATGTGTGCATCCCAAGCCTCTAAATCATGACCAAGATAATATATGAGCAAGTACTCAAATAGGGAGCTTTTCAGCTAACAGACTTTGATTATGAGCCACAGAAATCTGAAAGACATGGACAGTCTCTTGAAAGGACCTAGAATGATCATTCCAACAATTTTTCCTTTTTGAACTCACTTAAAATTCAACTTCCTGGCAGGAGGTGATTAATCCAAGCTGGGTCATGGATTCTTCTCTTGACAGACTGAGTCAGGGCAGGTTATTTGATGGTTCCACCAGACCATAGTGAATAGAGGAAAGTTCCTCGAAGGAAAATGAGGACACTGTGATCAAAAAAAGAGGGGAGGGATGCTGCCCAGTCAGACATTGCGTGGTGGTAGCAGTAGTAATAATGTTCTGAAGAGAGAGAAAGATCAGCTGTGGGTTGGAAGGAAAGAATTAGGGCTGTGGGAGGAGGTAGGTCTCAGACTAGTCCTGGAACGTATGCTCTCAGAAGATGGTGAGAAGACAAGTATGTTTGATAGGGCTGTTCATGGTTCAGAATGGTGGAGAAAAGATGGGGAGGGCACCAGCTTGTAGACAGCCTTAAATAAGAGGGTGCGTTGGGTTCTCACCTCTGGACTGGAGCCATTCAAGTTTGGTTTGTTTCTGTTTTATCCTAGCCACAGCATGCTTTAAATATATTTAGAGAGATTGATCGAGGAGTCGTCGTCAATAGAATGGAATGCAGTGAGGTCAGAGATGGGGGCAAGGAAAATCCTGAAAGGTATCTGCATACATTTGCCTTGGTAGCAAATCCTCAGAAGTACAATATCAAGGTTTCTGTTTAAACATGCAGTAAATATAAAAGTCAAAATTTGCCTGAGATTCTTAACTCAGTTGTTTTTCCTAATTAAAGTGTGTATGTTAAAGCCAAACTAGTATCGAAAGTATTACATACAACAAGGGCAGTTAGATAAGTTAATGTTGCTATGGGAACTCCCCCCACCTCCTCCACCAGCTCCTGCAGATCTTCTTGTGTCTCAATTTAAAAATCATGGCCCAAGGTGGTTTTAAAAACAACAGAAGGTAAAATTATTCCCACATTCTCACACATGTAAATTGTACTGTCTCTCTCAGTCCTAAATAGCAGATTCAAGCCAGCTTCTTGACTGGCACAGTAAAATTCTGCTTCGTGTCTTTCTATAATGTATTACAGCATGTAGTTAACCTTTAGAAACTTCAAAAATACATCAAACCAAATTTGGACTGTGAGACACAAACTGGGCTCTTTTGGGCTCTGTCTAGCATAGACCTCCTATTCCACATGGCTGCTTATCAGGCCATTTCTATCAGTGTCTTCTGCTTTCTCTTCCTCAGCCTACCTGAATCAACCCCCTACCTTGAATTTGCTGCCAGACAAAATATAGATTTTTGGCAGAGGGAAAAAAAGAGAAAGACCTGATTTGGAATATTGCCTATAGATATTAAGAAATCATGAAATGTTGCAAATGTATCTGCTTGGGTATTAGTTTAAAATAATTGACAGCTGCATGAAATTCTCATTTTTCCCTCATATCCATAGAGGTAGGACTAGTTAGGCAGAGTTTGATATTTAAAAATTCATCTGCTGAGGGAGCTAAATTTCAAAAGGACCGTTTTCTTTCTAACAAAAAGATGTATTCATTCATTTTATAATACAGAAACAATGAAATATGCTATATTAAAAATGCACCCTCCATTTTCCTCCCTTTCTGAAAATTCACTTTTGAGCATTTTCCAAATGTAAAAATTCTCACGCACATGAAGTACTGTTTCAGAAGGTTGTGAGAAAGCCAAGGTAACAGTTTCTATTATTAAAAGTTTTGCCTTTCAGTGTGACACATTTGTAGTATTGAAACACCCAGTTAATGCTGACTTCTGAGAACTTCTTTGTTTTACTTGTCTCAGTTCCATATGCTTTGTCTCTAAATTATGAACACATTGAGGTTTCTACCATCATGTGATCTAAATCATTGCTATACACATCTGTACGTGAAAATTATTCACCTATTGTGAAGAGCTGCCCTCTTGGACTTCCGAAGCATTTAGACCATTAAATTTCAGGTAACTTAAATTCTTGCCCCCAAACTCCTGTGCTGTATTCCTCTTTTCTAACTCATCAAAGCCAAGTTCTGAAGCCAGAATATATCATGCACTGTTACTTCCAGTTGGTGTTAATGTTTATTATGCTTCTCACAAGTGCAGATAACTTCACATTCGCATCATTAATAGACTTCTTTCAGAGCCTCTGCTCCTTCTGCTTCCTGCCTCTATTAGTCATCAGTAGACATGTTGGCGTGGTTATTCACCCCCCGCTTGTGAAAGTGCACTGTAAAATCTAAAGTGCTGAATATGTGTGTGATGTTGTTACTAATAACAGCATCTGCAGTCTACAAGGCCGCATACAGAGTGCTCCAGCAACAGAAACGTTTTCCATGGTTTTATGAGACCTTGCGAGAAAGACAGTAAAATGTGTGGAAAAGTATTGCCTGTCAGGAGACATGGGTCCTGGTTCCTATTGAACCATTTAGCTGCTCTTAATTTAGTTCTGAGTGCTAAGTCTTTTATATACTACACTTTTATATACCACATTATTCCTTCATTTAATCCTCAAACTCCTACAAATTAGTTTTATTGTAACCATTTAACGGATAAGACTAGAACACTGAGGTATTGGGTAATTTGCCTAGGATATCACCACGAGTCAGTGGCAGAAACACAGTTTGGACCCAGAACTGACTTGATTCCAAAAACTGTGCCTCTCACCAGTCCACTTTTAATTGATAGGCTACAATGCGGCTGGAGAAGGAAAAGAGCTCCTGAATCAAGCGGAGAATTACTGCAGTAGGGGGGAGTGTGGATCAGATGATCTTCAAGGAGATGGCTCCTTCTAGATCCAGTGATTCTATGAAATAAGTAGGTAGCACTTATGCACATTACACACTGGGAAGGAAAGAGAAGGAAAGGAAGGGAGAGGAATGACAAAGCAGAAGCTTGCAGTCAGCTCTTTTCGCATTCTGCATATGTTTACTTCTGCTCTGGCCCCACCCCCTCGGGGCTCAGACTTCTATTTGGCTCCCCTCCAAACAAGCAGAGCACCCATCAGTTGCATACTCCTCACTTAAAAAAAATCAGTCTGTACTGCAAGTGGAAAGAAAAACTCTTAAAGTGTCCTCAAGGGCTCAGCTCCAGCATAATCTAAAATATGTGATCAGAGAGTGTCAATAATAAAATATGAGTGAAAACATCTTTATTTAAAACATTGTATGTACATTAATGCCAATTCAAGCATGAAATATTGAGCATTTCTTGGAATATGATTTGGGATTTGAGAGGCACAAAGGTACCTGCAAGATGGCTTTGGTGTGGTTATAAATACAAACAGAAATAAAATAACAGTTGCATCTTCATTTATAATGAATATATACTGTGGCCTCAAAGCTGCAGAGGAGACTGGGTGCCAAAATCTGTCTTTCATTAACATATGCCTTAAATGACAGGGAAGAGGTGTTAAGACAAAATTACATTTTCCTCTGCGTATGAATCAGCAACATGCAGTAACAAGCAAGTAATAATAGTTCTGCGTGTAAGTGCCTGCAGAGGGCAAGAAAACAGCATTGAATTGAAAGTGGAAGCTCGTCTGCGAGAGGGCCCAGGTGGCGGCGGAGCACGGCTCCCTCGAGCACCGTTCCGAGGTGTCTCGGCACAGTGACCCGGACTCTGGCAAGCCAGGCTGGCGTGAGCTGCACGGGGCACGTTAAAGCCTCCAGATGGCTCAAAGCAGCCCCCCCTCAGCTGCTCCCAGAGCTCGGCAAAAGCACACTCCGAGGCACCACCACTAGCCAAGGGTTTAAAGCAGGTGCTTTGGATTCTGCGGTGCATGTGGTTTCACAGCCACTCAACCTACAGTCAGGAAGAGCTAGAGGCAGGTGAAGAGAGAAATAATGTTAACATTACATAAGGAGCAAAAAAGGATATTTAAGAGCACGTAGATGTCAAGTAGTTACACATAGTGTTTGGTTAGCAGTGTCCTTGGCACCCCTGTGATTCGTGTCCTTACCTTTGATTTTTTTCAGCAGATAGGCACTAAGTAGAGCCTGGACTCCAGAAAATACGTGCTTTTCTATCAGCTGTTACCTGCCAAATTAGGTGAGCTATTAATTGCCTCCTAAAAAAGGCCCAAACATCTCTCCTACTTGGGCCAACTCAAGAAAACTATGAGTTTTATCCTTAACACAGATTCTTTGGCAGTGTTTTCAACCCATTGCTCCTTTACATGAGACTTCTAGTTCTTTGCAGGAAAAGCAGAAGTTAATTTTTTTTTTCTTATGAAATCTTTAGATATCAATTGTTGATTGTTTCAGAACACTTTAGGGAAGGACAATCACCCTTCAAGTCTTTTAAGACTTTATTGGTGAAAAGCTCTAAAACTGTAACTTCCTGGCATTAATGAGGTGTTGTTGAGTCTCTTGCATTAGTTTGTTGTTCAGTCGCTCAGTCGTATTTTGTTTTTTTTTTTAATCCTGTGTACTTAACAAAAGCAACTATGGTTGCTGCCTCATTTCTCTCACCTCCAGTCTCTTGAGAGAAACTTGTCTTTCTCCTGAGTCTGTCCTGCTGAACAGAATGTAATAGCTCTCCATACATCTTTAGTTATGCCCTCCTCCTTCAGGTGAGCTGAGACAGGGTCCCCTTAAGCAGCATTGGAACTTGCACTGAAAATTGCTTGAAAGAGAATGGCTGAAATTGCCAGCGTCACATGCCGCATTGAAGCAAGGAAATTTCTGCCTCCGAGGATAATAGCTTTTCTCCTTGCTCATACATCTTCCTTCACAGCCCTCATTTATTTTAATGTATATATTCCACTTTGACTCTCTGGAAGATATTTTTTAAAGGTTTTTTAAAAATCCAAATGAAAGATGAAATTCAGGATCCAGAAAGGCATCTATTTATCCTGTCATGAATGTATTCTTAATCAACCAGTCTTTCTAAGCGTCTCTTCATTTGCTGCTTTGTTTCGTAATACAACACTCGGGCTCTGGAGATTAGTGAGACAAAGCTTCATTATAACCATCCTTGTTCTACTCCCATGTCTTACAGGCTTTCTCTTCCTAACTCACTCTCCAGGTGCTTCTTTCTCTTGCCAAATAGCGCAAGGAAATACTTCTGCAGATCTTTTGTTTACTTTAGAAAAAAACACTGATCCAGGCTTTCCCATTTGGGGGAGTGCTGCTCATTTCCTGACTGGCCTTTAAAGTTTGGCTCAGTAGCAACCTGGGGATTTGTTTTCTACCCAGAGTGAAAGGAGCTTGGTGCCCAGTGGCCCCATGCTGGAATGAGAATTAAAATTCTACTCATTCCCTGGATAAGCAAGCTGATGCTTTCCTCATAGATTTTTTTTCCATTCCTCAAAGTTTTGATCTTTAGTCATTTAGCTTTGGCTTTTGAGAGACATTTTAATAGGATTGTTTCTCCTCCAAGTGCATTCAGAAGTTGATCATGGGTACAAGGAAACTCAAGAATGAAGAATTCCCTGTTTGCTGTTTTTTTACCTACAATGAAAATGATGTACAACACATGCAGTGTTTACTCCTACTGCATGCAGTTCCGTACCCAACTGCCTGACCTCGGAAAGAAGCAGCTGTGACACCCAAAGAATCTGGCTTGAGCCACCTCCCTTTCTAAGTCCACAAGACTGCCGAGTCAACGAAGCTTTGGTTATCACCCAGTTACATTTTCTTATTTCATGTAAGCTTTGTAAATCTTGTGCTTTCTTCTCTTGGGCACATTTACATTAAGTTTGATTCTAGTTGTGTATCTTTTATCTATACTAGAGTTATGGTTATATATGAGTATAAGTTACTCTTCATTCATTCTACCATGGGGACTT